TCGGTGGAAACATTGACATTTGCTCCGCAGCAGTGAAGGAGTTGGCAAGCAAGAGGAGTGCTTTGGATCCATTGTGCATTGTGGACTGCCCGGGCTACCAGCTTGCGCTGCTGACCCTGATGCAAAGAAACATTTGCAAAACATGCTGGAACAGGGGTGGTCTCCAGTTTTCGATCTTGAGCTAGATGCTGCTGCAAAGTTCATCGCAGAAAGGAACGTAGGTGGCATCGTTGTGAAGAGGGCAAAGTATTTTGACCAACCCGAAAACATGTGGAATGGAAATCATGAATTTGCCCTTGTACCATCGGGCACGCTGATGAGATGGAAGATTGGGAAGGAGCTGGCAAGGATGGAGAGCATGGAGAGCATTGGCAGCTTAGCTGATGAACTTTGCAGGAAAAGTGTGCCTGTGCTAAGTTTTTTTGGTTTGAGCCATGGGCATCACTTTAGAGTTCAGAATCTTCTGCTTTGCGTTGCAGGTTTGCATGATGGTTTATGGCCCATGACACATGTGAAGCAGACGTGCCCTTAAGCAGATGCAAGCAATCTTGCGAGGTCATGTTGTTATATGGTAACGTCCAAGCGTCGCTTTCCCCCTTCAATTTCAAGCAACTTTTTTTTTTTCTCCGCTTGGCGCTGTCAGACCAATTCCCTCGACATCATTTCTTGCCGTTCTTGTTCATTGGCCTCGGATGGGAAGTACTTGTTGCTTTCCAGTTGAATGTATGGACGATCTATCTGAAGCTTGATTTTTGAAGCTCCACCAGTTTCAAGGCCAGTGAAAGCTAACCGGCGCACTTATCACGTTGCTTGCTCAGAATGCCACCTCGCAAGGCAAAGTTGCCTCGCAACCACCCCCAGCAGTGTGGGTCTGTCAGCTGGGAAGCCCTGCCTGGGCCTTACCAGCTTTGTGCAGTTTTGCCTGCCCTGCGTTCATGTTCGAGAAAAGCTGTCAAAGGGTCGACTTTTTTCCTCAGAAGATTGTCTCCCACCTCTCAAAATCGAAGGTGTTTGTGAGAATTGCAGAGCCCAGCGAATTTTTATTTGCGATCGATGGATGAAACTGGATTGCAGCCCTTTGCAAGGATGGCAAGGAGTTTGAGACGACCCCTCCCAGCTAGCGTTTCTTGTCAGTCATGCCTATCCTACAAGGTTTGACACTGCGCATGTGACTTCCCAAAGTCGAGAGATTGACAGCGGGCAAGTTGGTGGTGCAAGACAACGTCTTGTCATGCGTTGTTCTTGTTACTTGTGATTGCAGGGTTGTTTATTGCTCAGGATCTGTTGAAAGATATCTTCCAAGACGAAATACTTTGTATGTTTTGCTGCCATGCCCTTTCTTATTCAATGTCCATTCCCTTTTGTGACGCGCAGGAAAGAAGCATTTCCAAAGCCCCCACCTCCAAAATCCACTGTGTTTGTGAGAATCGCGGAGCCGTTCGTTGAATGGATGGGTGTGAACTGGATTGCAGTGCTTGTGCATTGCGAGGATGGCAAGGACTTTGAGATCGTCGGCAACGCGTTTCAGGTCAAAGGTGTTTTGACAAACGCAGCGACCTCAGCTGCGCCACTTTGTGAAGGATCTACTTCAGCTTGTTTTGCCTTCGGAAATGTTGCTTCGTGCTTCGCGGGGATGTCAGGTGGATGATCTTAAAGAAGCCGTGCGCTCAGAATGGGTTTGCTTTGGCTCTTTGTCGGTTTGAGACCGTTGTCATACTCTGATAGCTTGAGGCCATCAAGCAGAAGAAGCCAAATACAGTGTCTTGTGATGCAGATGAACTGGACATATACAGCCGGCAGGAGAGCGTTGCGTGTTCAAGGGCACCCGTTTCTTTCCCCGCACCTCACCCCTTGCCGTGTCTCGGCTGGACTTTGCAGGACGGTGGCTGGGTGAAAGATGTTGAAGATTCAGCAGTCGACTGTGGCAAATCCAGGCCCAGCACTTGGTTCCGATGCCTTTCAACTTTGGGTTGGTGCGGTCGCCCAGCTGTCAGGGCAGACTGCTACGGATTCATGTTGCCAGCTGGAGCTGCTGGAGCCACATAGTTCGAGGCACCTCAGCAGCGCAGCAGTGCTCTACACTTGTGAACTTGCATCGTTGCCAGGCTACTGCTAGCTGTGGTCACTTGCTATTCTCGGCTGAGGGAATGCTGGGGCACAACGTTTCACCTCGTGCAGTGACAAAGGGTGCAGTCGCAGGCACAGTTGTTTCGTTGCAGTGCATTTTTGCTTGACTCTTGAAGCGTAAGGGAGGTCAATGTTCACACTTTTGAACATCAGGCTGCGGTGTTCAAGACGAGCAGAAAACGTGCGTGCAACGGGTACAGGACCAGCGACGCGCTGGTCAACAGCTGTTTCACCGAGGCATTCCTCCTTGTGCCTAAGTGCGCAGATGCAGTACCGAACCATTTGAAGTGCGGAGGAAATGATTGGCAACTTGTGCACATTGTTTCATGCTATTTGTTGAGCGTGGCGCTCAGAGAAGCTTGTTGAAGAGCAGACCCACACTGCTGCGAGGCGGCTTGCAGGTGCATTCTTGGCAAGCAACGTGATAACTGCGCCTGTCCACTGGCCCTGAAACTGGTGAGCTTTATAGATCGTCCATCCGACTGGAAAGCAACAAGCACATCCCAAGGCCAAAGAACAAGAGCTTTTGCTCAAGGGCTCGTCAGCTTTCATCAAAAGCGTTGCTCCAAGCTGGGCTCAAACGCTTCCACCTTAAAGCAACATCTGCAGCGACTACGAAACTGACGAAGCTGACAGATCACGACCGCAAACTGACAAAAAAGGACGGAAGCTGACGGATCACGACCTAAACTGGTGGATCACGAGCGAAACTGACGGATCACGACCGTAAACTGACGGATCGCGACCGAAATTGACGGATCACGACCGAAACTGTATCACGACCGTAAACTGACGGATCACGACCACAAACTGACGGATCACGACCGAAACTGACGAATCACGACCGTAAACTGACGGATCATGACCGTAAACTGACGGACCACGACCGCAAACTGACGGATCACGACCGAAACTGACAGATCGCGACCGTAAACTGACGGATCACGACCGTAACTGACGAAACTGACGGATCACGACCGGAGCGTTAAACGCGAAAAAACAACCTAATGTACCGCGACATGCCGAGTTGTGCAACGCGCGACCCGTTTCGAGACGGTCCTGCGAAAACCCGCAGAGATTAACAACGCGAAGCGGGAACGACAACCCGCACAGAAACTGACGACCGGGTGGGGCTTCAGACCCCCCGCGAGCTCGGGAAGGACGAATTCCACGAGATTGAGCGCAAGATGCTGAGCGACAAAGGCGCCAAGAAGATTCTCAGTGGCTTGAAGGATGAGTATCGCATGGCGTTGGTGGTGGCCGCGGAGAGCGACAGCTGGATGTGGCCGGTGCTAGCCATTTTGGCTGGCATAGGAGCCTTGAGCCTGGTTCAGTGGCTGTGGAGTTTCTTCATCAAGAAGATCCAGAAGGAGATCGTCACCTCCGGCAAGGCAACGTTTCAGGAGTTCAACAACAGCGAGCCGGAGGTGAGTAGCGAGCTGAGGAAGAGGGCCAATCCGGTCCGAATGTTGCCAACAGGCAACGTGTATCACACGCACGAGAAATGTCCCCACTACAAGGGTGGGAGACAGGTGCACAAGTGTCTCAAATGCAGCGGATATGAAGGCAGCATGTGAGGATTGTTCTTGTGTTCAGTCATATCCGCATGCAAAGCATGATGTGCATGTACCGCAACGGAGGCTCTAATTGCCACAGGAAAAGAACTGCCATGCGCTCGACAGTTTCGGATCCATTTTGCGAACGCTTTTGGAGAAACTTGTTACGCGTTTGGGTTTGCGACGTGCGTGTGCATGCCGACGGCCGCCAGTTGTTCCCTCAACTTTGCTTTGGCCAACGGGGGGTCGCAAAGCCACACGGCGGCGTGCTGCTTGCAAAACTTTCACCAGCCAGCCTTTCTGCTCTTGCTCCCCGGAGTGGCCTGGGGCGTTTCTATAAATGAATCGACGGCCCGGCGCGGTCGGAGATGCCGCAAGCGGCTGCAGAGGTGGGGGTTGCAGCAGTCGTCAGGGAAACTTCTACGCCGCAGGACTCACTTGTAGCCGCCTGGCTCGCTTGGGGTTGGAAAGCTGACGAGGTAGTGTTCCATGTTCCCTTCTGTGAAGGGTGCTTGTTGATCCCTTGCATTGCATGCAGAACAGCGTGGCCCAATCACAGCAGGAACGACCTGACTGCTGCTCGATCTGACCCTGTGAGTTCGAAGGCCGCTGGACAGAAAACGCGCCTGATGAGCAAGTCCTGTGAGAGCCCAGCCCTTGCCACATTGCTTGAAAGCTCAGCTAGACGAGTTGATTTTCAACCGGCGTCTCCAACAAGCAAACTTGACCTTTCCCCCAATGGAGGCTGCCAGATGTGCCGCTTTCAAGCACGCCGCGTTTTCAGACATGGCGGCAGACGACTTGTGCTTGCTTTACACGCATTTCACCCACAGTCGAGCTCGGCGCGGAGCAGTATGTTGGACACATTAGATTTTTGCTTAACGCTGGAAAAGCGGCACGCTGAACAAGCTTGGGTCGAAGCGCCGGACTTCCAACTTTGACTCTTACAACAAAGAGGCACTGCGGCGGACTTCCTCATTCTGCCGTTTCCAGCGCACAGGACAGAGAAAACTAACAAATTTCCCGTTGTTGAATGAGTTTTTTTTTCTTTTGCACAGCCTCATGAATTTGCAAAAGCGTAGTCCCCATGACGGCTTGTTTTGGCATGTTTTGCACGGTTTTCCAGCAGTTGTTTTGCAAGGTCTTTTTGCTCAAATTTTGGAGCGGGCTCCACTGGCGTCCAGCAAGCCTTGACTTGCGCATGAGCTTGTTCAGCATGTAAGAATGTTCATATGTCCATTCATGCTGAAAAATTGGAAATTGTAAACAATGTTACAAAAACGCAAGAATGTGTGATGTGTTGGCTTCCTGTCATGCAGTGACATTTCGGCGTGATTTTTGTGATTGATTGCCCACAATGAGACATGCCCACAGAAAGCCATGGTTTCTCTTCCTGCTCATGGTAGCTTCTGACCTGTGCTTCATCCAGACGGTTCGCAACCGTGCTTTGGATGAAGGAGCTTGCTTCTGTTTAACTGCTTTTGCGTTGTTTTACCTCTGAATTTTGCCCCACGCCAAGGTGCACATTCGAGCATCGCCCTGAAGAGCATTGGCGACAGTCAGGATGGAAGACCAGCACTACGTCCTCCGTTTCGGTTCCACACATTGGCAAGCGAGGCTGCTATAAAAGAAGGTCTGGAAGTCGAGCAGTATTTATCCAATGTGTTGCAACGGCAAGATGACTTCATGAAAACCAACGAAGTGGTTGACAGGGGCGATTTTTTAGAGTCGCTCCGGCAAGCAATGCGCTCAACACAATTTTCACTCGTACTCGGAGGGAAGAATCTCGGCAAGACGCTGATGCGCAAGCGAACCGTGTGCGAGCTTGAAAACGAGCCCAACGCAAACCTGACGTTCATGGATGTGAACATGAGGGAGCAGCCCAGCAAAGAGCTCTTCAAGGCTATCTTGGGCAGAGTAGCATCCAAACGCTCTGATTGGGCTGGAATCCTGCAAAAGGTGGCTTCAAGCATTGCCAGCCTTGCGAGTGCAGTAGCAATTGGCACGAATCCGGAGGTCGTAGCGCCAGCCGCTGCAACACCGATATCTGCTGCAGTAAAAGTGCTAGTCGACTCATTGACATCGAATGAAAGGGAGCAGACCTTGTTGGAGCTAATAGACACCTTCCACACCGAAGGCAATGACACATGCATCCTCGTGGACGAGGCCAATATAGCATTGCCAGCAGGTGAGGACCCGGAGAATATCCGCAATGCGAGGCAAGCATTGCAATACTTCGTCATGCTTACCAAGGAAGCAAAAAAAACAGGCGTGGTGCTCATCACTTCAGACTTTGGCTATCCTTTCCGGCTTCAAAACTGCGGCATGAACCTGCAAGATATCCAACGCATCATCAACGTGAACGAAGTGCCCAAAGCGGACATGCTGCAGCTCATGGTGGACAGATGGGGCATGAGTGAGGACCTCGGAAAGGAGTTCTTCAGCTACTTCGGTGGAAACATTGACATTTGCTCCGCAGCAGTGAAGGAGTTGGCAAGCAAGAGGAGTGCTTTGGACCCATTGTGCATTGTGGAAGGCCCGGGCTTACCAGCTTGCGCTGCTGACCCTGATGCAAAGAAACATTTGCAAAACATGCTGGAACAGGGGTGGTCTCCAGTTTTCGATCTTGAGCTAGATGCTGCTGCAAAGTTCATCGCAGAAAGGAACGTAGGTGGCATCGTTGCGAAGAGGGCAAAGTATTTTGACCAACCCGAAAACATGTGGAATGGAAATCATGAATTTGCCCTTGTACCATCGGGCACGCTGATGAGATGGAAGATTGGGAAGGAGCTGGCAAGGATGGAGAGCATGGAGAGCATTGGCAGCTTAGCTGATGAACTTTGCAGGAAAGGTGTGCCTGTGCTAAGTTTTTTTGGTTTGAGCCATGGGCATCACTTTAGAGTTCAGAATCTTCTGCTTTGCGTTGCCGGTTTGCATGATGGTTTATGGCCCATGGCACATGTGAAGCAGACGTGCCCTTAAGCAGATGCAAGCAATCTTGCGAGGTCATGTTGTTATATGGTAACGTCCAAGCGTCGCTTTCCCCCTTCAATTTCAAGCAACTTTTTTTTTTTCTCCGCTTGGCGCTGTCAGACCAATTCCCTCGACATCATTTCTTGCCGTTCTTGTTCATTGGCCTCGGATGGGAAGTACTTGTTGCTTTCCAGTTGAATGTATGGACGATCTATCTGAAGCTTGATTTTTGAAGCTCCACCAGTTTCAAGGCCAGTGAAAGCTAACCGGCGCACTTATCACGTTGCTTGCTCAGAATGCCACCTCGCAAGGCAAAGTTGCCTCGCAACCACCCCCAGCAGTGTGGGTCTGTCAGCTGGGAAGCCCTGCCTGGGCCTTACCAGCTTTGTGCAGTTTTGCCTGCCCTGCGTTCATGTTCGAGAAAAGCTGTCAAAGGGTCGACTTTTTTCCTCAGAAGATTGTCTCCCACCTCTCAAAATCGAAGGTGTTTGTGAGAATTGCAGAGCCCAGCGAATATTATTTGCGATCGATGGATGAAACTGGATTGCAGCCCTTTGCAAGGATGGCAAGGAGTTTGAGACGACCCCTCCCAGCTAGCGTTTCTTGTCAGTCATGCCTATCCTACAAGGTTTGACACTGCGCATGTGACTTCCCAAAGTCGAGAGATTGACAGCGGGCAAGTTGGTGGTGCAAGACAACGTCTTGTCATGCGTTGTTCTTGTTACTTGTGATTGCAGGGTTGTTTATTGCTCAGGATCTGTTGAAAGATATCTTCCAAGACGAAATACTTTGTATGTTTTGCTGCCATGCCCTTTCTTATTCAATGTCCATTCCCTTTTGTGACGCGCAGGAAAGAAGCATTTCCAAAGCCCCCACCTCCAAAATCCACTGTGTTTGTGAGAATCGCGGAGCCGTTCGTTGAATGGATGGGTGTGAACTGGATTGCAGTGCTTGTGCATTGCGAGGATGGCAAGGACTTTGAGATCGTCGGCAACGCGTTTCAGGTCAAAGGTGTTTTGACAAACGCAGCGACCTCAGCTGCGCCACTTTGTGAAGGATCTACTTCAGCTTGTTTTGCCTTCGGAAATGTTGCTTCGTGCTTCGCGGGGATGTCAGGTGGATGATCTTAAAGAAGCCGTGCGCTCAGAATGGGTTTGCTTTGGCTCTTTGTCGGTTTGAGACCGTTGTCATACTCTGATAGCTTGAGGCCATCAAGCAGAAGAAGCCAAATACAGTGTCTTGTGATGCAGATGAACTGGACATATACAGCCGGCAGGAGAGCGTTGCGTGTTCTTTCCCCGCACCTCACCCCTTGCCGTGTCTCGGCTGGACTTTGCAGGACGGTGGCTGGGTGAAAGAAGAGAAGATGTCAGCAAGTCTGCGCGAGACAGATGAGCCCAGCGCTTGGTTCCGATGCCTTTCAATTTTGGGTTGGTGCCGTCGCCCAGCTGTCAGGGCAGACTGCTACGGATTCATGTTGCCAGCTGGAGCTGCTGGAGCCACATAGTTCGAGGCACCTCAGCAGCGCAGCAGTGCTCTACACTTGTGAACTTGCATCGTTGCCAGGCTACTGCTAGCTGTGGTCACTTGCTATTCTCGGCTGAGGGAATGCTGGGGCACAACGTTTCACCTCGTGCAGTGACAAAGGGTGCAGTCGCAGGCACAGTTGTTTCGTTGCAGTGCATTTTTGCTTGACTCTTGAAGCGTAAGGGAGGTCAATGTTCACACTTTTGAACATCAGGCTGCGGTGTTCAAGACGAGCAGAAAACGTGCGTGCAACGGGTACAGGACCAGCGACGCGCTGGTCAACAGCTGTTTCACCGAGGCATTCCTCCTTGTGCCTAAGTGCGCAGATGCAGTACCGAACCATTTGAAGTGCGGAGGAAATGATTGGCAACTTGTGCACATTGTTTCATGCTATTTGTTGAGCGTGGCGCTCAGAGAAGCTTGTTGAAGAGCAGACCCACACTGCTGCGAGGCGGCTTGCAGGTGCATTCTTGGCAAGCAACGTGATAACTGCGCCTGTCCACTGGCCCTGAAACTGGTGAGCTTTATAGATCGTCCATCCGACTGGAAAGCAACAAGCACATCCCAAGGCCAAAGAACAAGAGCTTTTGCTCAAGGGCTCGTCAGCTTTCATCAAAAGCGTTTCTCCAAGCTGGGCTCAAACGCTTCCACCTTAAAGCAACATCTGCAGCGACTACGAAACTGACGAAGCTGACAGATCACGACCGCAAACTGACAAAAAAGGACGGAAGCTGACGGATCACGACCTAAACTGGTGGATCACGAGCGAAACTGACGGATCACGACCGTAAACTGACGGATCACGACCGAAACTGACGGATCACGACCGAAACTGTATCACGACCGTAAACTGACGGATCACGACCGCAAACTGACAGATCACGACCGAAACTGACGAATCACGACCGTAAACTGACGGATCATGACCGTAAACTGACGGACCACGACCGCAAACTGACGGATCACGACCGAAACTGACAGATCGCGACCGTAAACTGACGGGCAGAGCACACTTCCTGACAGAATTCATTCCTGGCAGAATTCCTTCCTGACAGAATTCCTTCCTGACAGAGTTCCTTCCTGGCAGAGCCCGCTTCCTGGCAGAATTCCTTCCTGGCAGAGCCCGCTTCCTGACAAAGTTCCTTCGCAGAGTCCCTTCCTGACAGAATTCCTTCCTGGCAGAGTTCCTTCATTCCTTCCTGACAGAGTTCCTTCCTGGCAGAATTCCTTGCTGGCAGAGCCCGCTTCCTGGCAGAAATCCTTCCTTACAGAATTCCTTCCTGGCAGAGCCCGCTTCCTGACAGAGTTCCTTCCTTACAGAATTCCTGCCTGGCAGAGCCCGCTTCCTGACAGCTGACAGAATTCCTTCCGTACAGAATTCCTTCCTGGCAGAGCCCGCTTCCTGACAGATTTCCTTCCTTACAGAATTCCTTCCTGGCAGAGCCCCCATCCCCCCTTCGCACCCTGGAAGCTGACTCGCCTCCATTCCCCGGAGAAGACGACGACCACATCACACCCAACCCGGAAGCTGCCCCGCCTCCATTCCCCGCAGAAGACGGCGACGACATCATCACACACAACTCCAAAGCTGCCTCGTCTCCATGCCCCCTTTGCACCCCGGAAGCTGACTCGCCTCCATTCCCCGCAGAAGACGACGACCACATCACACCCAACCCGGAAGCTGACTCGCCTCCATTCCCCGCAGAAGACGACGACCACATCATCACACCCAACCCGGAAGCTGACTCGCCTCCATTCCCCGCAGAAGACGGCGACGACATCATCACACACAACTCCAAAGCTGACTCGTCTCCATTCCCCCTTCGCACCCCGGAAGCTGACTCGCCTCCATTCCCCGCAGAAGACGACGACCACATCACACGCAACCCGGAAGCTGACTCGCCTCCATTCCCCGCAGAAGACGACGACATCATCACACACAACTCCAAAGCTGACTCGCCCCCCGCCCCCCAAAAGAAGACGACGACAACATCATCACACCCAACCCGGAAGCTGACTCGCCCCCCCCCCCCCCAAAAGAAGAAGACGACAACATCATCACACCCAACCCCAAAGCTGACTCGCCCCCATTCCCCCTTCGCACCCCCGGAAGCTGACTCGCCCCCCTGGCAGGCACTGCCCCGTCACTTTCGTGCTCGTACAAAAAAACCGACGACGTTCTCAGCCGCGCGTTCTGAAGCTCAAACTTTAAAAGGCTGTGACAGAAAGCGAGCAACGCAAGCCGACCTTTTCGCCATGGCGAAACAAAACAGGTCGCCTCTCTTGCACAGGCTCGCGAATTTGCGAACCGAAGTGGCCACCGGTCGGACGCGCCGCAACTACGGTGTCGGGCGCGAGCTCACGGGCGAGGAGCTTTCTCAGAGGAAGACGGAAATCGCGAGGCTGGAACGGTGGACTGGGGGGCGGGTGAAAAAAACGTCTGTTCGGCGTTTGACGCCTGCCCGGCACTGCGCCTGCTTGGCACTCCTAGCCTTCCTACACGCCTGCTACTTGGCGCATCCCCCAGCGCCAGACCAGAATCGCGCTTCTTCGCCACGCACGACAGGATAAAAAAACTTCGGGGTTTGGGGGGTACATGCCGCAAAACGAGCTATTCTCCCCGACCATCTGCGCACAGATGGTCGGGGAGAATGCGCGCGGCGCGGCCGAGCAAAAAAAAACTGGACCCGTAAAAAAAGAATGGCAAGTTGGGCAAGACAACGACAACAGATCACGGAGGCCGCGGACGGCGGCGCCCGGGCTCGCACGGGGGCGGATGGAGCCGTCGTGCTGAACTTGCGGCGCGGACCGGGGGCCTACGCGCTGCTCTCGCGCGCGGACGGGCAGCTGACCCGGGCGGGCCAGCACTACTACTCTCACCTGGGCCTGCGGCCTCCAGCAAGGACTTCGACTACAACCAGCCCCTCATCCGCGAGGGGCCCAACGACTACATCCTGCTGCGCAACGGGCGGAAGAAGCTCGTGCGCTCCTTGCAGGGCGGAGAGCACCGGCTGACCAAGCTGGGCAAGGGCTTCTTCCGCGACAAGTTCTGCTCGTGGAACCAGTACACCTCCTTCTTTTCCGGCTCCACTTTGTTGGAGCACCAACCTCCCACAAATGCCAGTCCTTCGTCCGAGGCGCTAGCATCGCTGCAGCCCCACCAAGAGGACTTCGGCAAGTAAGGGGAGTACTGGACGAAGGGCGTGTTGAAGAGGAACCGCAGCATGAACGCCAGCGTCCTGACCACCTTGGGGGGTTTCCCCACCGTGGTGGTGGCCATCTTCCAGGCCCAAAGTGGCTGGAGCATCGACTTCGCCAGCGGACATGCAGCAGTCGCCCATTGGATGCGACCCAGGGCCTTCTCGATGTCCTTTGAGTGCATCGCCTGCCCTTCCACCATGGTCTGCAAAACCTCCATAACCAGGATGTGTTTGTTGGCGGCCATGAGAACCTGCGGGATGTTCGGGTGGACCACGAAACCCAGCCACGTGTTAACCTCCGCCAAATGTGTCTTCTTCCAGCTAAGCGGGGTGCCCAAGGCCAGGAGTGTTGCCAGCAGCGCCACCCAAGTTGACTGCCCCTCGCTTCGAAGCAGCCACAGGAAGTCATCCACAAAGACGAAGTTCCAATCCACTTGAGGGAAAAGCGCGTAGAGGACCCTGAGTAGAAGGGCTGCCAGGCGTCCCCAGTAGGATTGGGCACTGGCCATGCCATATGTGCCTACCTTGTTCACCCCCCCAGTGAGGCCACCTGGAACCCTGAGGATTCACTCTCCGGTGGGCCTTGGTGACGTCTGCCTTGAGCAGCACCCACCTGGTGCCCGGCTCCGGCCATAGTCGGGGCCAGGGGCACCCTGAGAGGGGGGTCCCTCCGCAGCTGCCGCATGTAGCCAATGAAGAGCTTGTACCCTTCTACGAGTACCTGGTCCACGTGCCGGTGATCATCCGGGGCAGGAGGCGCAGCGGGCGGTTGCGGCGGTGCAGGCCTTCCGCTCCCAGCTCCCCCAGGACGCTGCCGAGTACGTCCGCATGAACGTATTGCAACGCCGGCGCGGGCTGCGAGCGCAGGGCCCACCTCACGGAGGAGCAGGTGGCGCAGCGGGTCAGGAAGCAGGTCGAGGCCTCGCTCGGCGACCCGGCCGGCCCGATCCTGCAGCTCTCGGACGAGACCTACTTCCTCGACCCGGAGGGGCACTGGGTGGTCAGCACCCAGAGCACGCAGTGTCGGAACTCGAGGACCGAGGTGGAGACGCTCCTGCGCCAGCGCATGAGGGGCCTAAGGAGCGTGAGCTTAGAGAGAGGGTTGGGGGGTCTGAAGCTCCACCCGGTCGTCAGTTTCTGTGCGGGTTGTCGTTCCCGCTTACGCGTTGTTAATCTCTGCGGGTTTTCGCAGGACCGTCTCGAAACGGGTCGGGCGTTGCACAACTCGGCATGTCGCGGTACATTAGGTTGTTTTTTCGCGTTTAACGCTCCGGTCGTGATCCGTCAGTTTCGTCAGTTACGGGCTGTGCCAGGAAGAGGCTCTGCCAGGAAATGGGCTGTGCCAGGAAGAGGCTCTGCCGGGAAGTGTGCTCTGCCAGGAAGGGGGAGTCAGCTTTGGAGTTGTGTGTGATGATGTCGTCGCCGTCTTCTTTTGGGCGGGGGGCGAGTCAGCTTCCGGGGGTGCGAAGGGGGAATGGGGGCGAGTCAGGTATGGAGTTGTGAGTGATGTTGTCGTCTTCTTCTTTTGGGGGGAATGGAGGCGAGTCAGCTTTGGGGTTGTGTGTGATGTTAGAATTGTGAGAGATTGGAAGCTGACTGACGCCACTTGATTCACAAAAACAATATTACGATTTGGCGACAATATCAAGTGTACCTTGAATCCCTGAGAAATCTACCATGTGCAACTTTTGTGCGTCGTAAGAGGAGAAAACAACATCATTGCCATAATGTCCAATGTTTTCTTTAAACCCAAAAACAACTACAAACTTTCCGCCCTGGTTGATCCCGGTCATCAACACTTGGCCACATCCAGTGTGGACACGATGAGGGTCGACTTGGCATGTGTACAATTTCTTTTGCCGCCTGCAGCCACTCTTTGCACCGTCGTTGCCTCGCTTCCCCTCGCGCCGACGATGTCTGCCCCTGCGGGCGCTTTGACTGCGCACGAGCGCCTGCTCGCCGCCGTGAGCGCGGCTGACGCACTGCCG